CGTCACGTCGCTTTGATTGTCTTTTTCTTTTATGGGACTGTTTGATAATGCTTCTACAATTCTGTTAATTTTACCTGGCTTGTACTCGAATTTATACACGTAATCTTGAAGACGTAGCCTCCACCTGTGTAATCTCGCACCTGGATTTTCAATATAACTCATCCAGTGTATCGGTTCGAAATCGCAAGCTAGAATAAATTCTCGACCATATAGATAAGGTCGAAAATTTTCTACGGCATATAGGATCGCAAGGCATTCTTTTTCCGCTTTCGGATATTTTTGTTCATTTTTATTTATAACCTTTGAAAAATAAGCCACGGGTAAATCGATTCCGTCGCATTCTTGAGTTAAAATAGCACCTATTGCACGCTCCGATGCGTCGGTAGTTAATTTAAAAGTTTTCGTAAAATCAGGATATTGTAGAATAGGTTCTTTACAAAGATGGTTCCTGAGTTGACGAAAAGCTTTTTCCTGATCATCAGTCCATTTCCAAACAGTTTCTTTCTTTAAGAGGTCTGTTAATGGATTTGATATTTTTGCATAATCTTGTATAAATCGCCTATAATAACCGGTTAATCCAAGGAATCCTCGAAGTTCCTTGATAGTGGTAGGATGGGGAAAATTCCTTATCGCATTTATTTTATTAGGATTAGGTTTTACCCCTTCTGGACCGATTATATGACCGAGATATGCTACTTCCGTTTTTAGAAATTCGCATTTGTCAGGTTGTAATTTTAAGTTTGCTTCACGGAGGCGATTAAAAAGCCGTCTAGCTCTTCTATCATGTTCTTCTAAAGTGTCGGAATGAATAATGATATCATCTAAATATACGAGAGCTTCCGTATCAAGCATACTGTTTAAAACGTTATTTAATAATCGTTGGAATGTAGGAGGGGCATTCTTTATTCCCATGGGCATACGCTTATATTCGTAATGAGCGTTGCCGGTAGAAAAAGCTGTTTTAATCCTATCGTCAGGGTGTGTTTCTACTTGATGGAAACCCATGGCTAGATCAAAAACTGTAAAATACCGCGCAGTGCCCAATTTTTCGAGCAGGCTGTTTATATGGGGTAACGGGAAAGAGTCACCTATAACTTGCTCGTTTAGTTTCCTATAGTCTACAACAACTCTCCATTTCTTTTGACCCGAAGCATCGAGTTTTTTGGGAACGATAAGAACTGGGGAATTGTATGGTGAAGTCGAAGGACCAATGATTCCACAGCTCAATTGTTTTAGGAGCTGCAGATCCATTTGTTCTCGAGCTTCATGAGGACACCTGTATTGTTTTCTAGTGATGACTTTGTCATCTCTTGTTGGAATTCTATGCTGAATTAAATGGGTACATGACAAAGGTTCCCCATTCAAGTAGAAAATGTCAGCATAGTCTTCTGCCCAACCGTAAACAACTTTTCTTTCTTCAGGGCTCAGATGCGAAACGTAAAGGGCATTTTTAACCTTTATAACTCTATCAGAATAACCATTAACATTCTGATCCTGCAGTTCCTCTAGTTCAGAATCTGTTAATTCTTCACCAGGAAATTTGCAGAAATCAAAAGGTATTAATTCTTGTGGAGTTAGTTCAAGATCAATATCCTCTTCAGTGGTATTGATAGCCACTGCATGACATACACCATTGGTATTGGTAACCACTGCTTCACCAAGGTAAAGTCCTTCAGGTGTAGGTACTAGAGGTAAATAACCTTCTTTTAGGCCCTTGTTAGAAACGTCGATCGCGATTGGTTGTCTAGTCCTCGCTTTAATTCTGAGAATTCGAGCAAATGGTTTAATTTCAGGTTTCAAATTTTGTTTCGATTCTTGTGATTCTAAATCTACGAAGGGTATAGGAGTTATAGGATCCGAGATTGTAACTAACGCATTATGTCGAAACGATATTTGAGCTTGCTCTTGACGAAGAAAAGGTCTTCCTAAAATACCTGACGTGGATATCGGAAAATTATTTTTAACCACGTGGAATTCGACTGGATTTTTCTGAATTGTAAGTTCGATAGTTCCCAGAGTCTTAACGGAATGATTTGTTATTCCTGTAATTTCAGCGCTGTTTTTGACTGCAATTATTAGTTCCGGGTCCAGAGCATTCAGTTTAATCAAATTAGTATCTGATCCAGGATCAACTAAAAATTTGATTTTTGGATGTCTAAACTCGGGAGCAGTCAATTCGACTACTGGGGAGTCTTCGTTCCTAATTCCGACTCTAAGGATTTTACTGAATTCTCCGCGAAGTGTACCGTTTTCGAACGCTGGAGGATCGGACTCGCCACCGCGTCTGAGCGGCGAGTCTGTTGGGAGTTTAAATTAGTTTGAGGTCCTGGTGATAATGACCTTGGGGGTGTGTTGCCACCTCTATATGGTGACATCACCTGCGGTGTTTGAACAGGTGCTTGAAATTGCATCTGCTGCGGGTATTTCGCAGCCTGTGGATATTGATATGGAACAGACTGAGATTTTTGAGGCCACATTGATTTGTAAAACTGGGCCAATTGTTCAGGTGTGAGTTGAATCAGATTTGATTTGTTTGTTTCAGCATTTACTTTTTCTGACCGAGAATCCTGAATTAGTTCGCGGGTTCTTTTTTCGTTTCCAATCTCTAACTGTCGCGAATATGGACTTGGCGAACGTGGTCGGTCTATATTTCCTGTACGAGAAATGTGATAGGATGATGACCTAGATCTTTCTGAATACCGTTGTCTTTCTTCTGCGCGTAACGCGTGTTCAAAAGCTTCGGATAGGTTTCTCGGGTTTCGTGTGTCAACGAAAATTGACATTTCCTCAGGAAGACCCCTTATGAAGGCTTCAAGGGCACAGTCAATTATTGGCTTGATCATAATTTCACTAACAGATATATCATTATCTTCATCATCATCGTTAACGCGTCGATAACGTGCACCATACTTTTCTCCAAGGGCATGTTTCGCACCGCTAATTAACCCTTGTAATCTATCATTATAGTCACTGACTGTTTCCGTTTGTTTCATTCGCAAATTAATGATACTTTCAAAGTACCATTGGTATTTTTTTGTAGAGGCAAAACGTTTTTTTAAGTGAGTAATAAGGTCGTCGAGTCTATCAAAGGTTTTATCTCTAACACTTTCTCGAGCAGGTCCTTTTAATTTACCAAGAACTGCTTTTATAAAAGCCGATTCACTGTTTTCGCTTATGAATACAGCACCGTTTAGCACATCTTGTAAAAATTCATTTAACGAGGGATTTTTACCGTCAAAATGTGGAATATGATAAGTGCTTTGTTGTAATGTCATACACTCTAAAACGGACGCCATAGCTGCACTAGTATTTGGGTTAATAGTGGGAGCTGTAATATTCGCGGTAAGAGTCGTACCGCTATGATGGGCAGGAGGGTCTTCGTCAGCCATTTTGATTATGGTATTGTCTCTATTAAATATTATTTTATGGTATAAAGATTTTCTTAATTGATTCGCCAGGTTGTCGCAAAAATTAATTAGGTCTCAATGCACTAAATCCTGATGACCCTAAAATTCCGTTCTCATAAGGTCCTTGTAAAGGACTTTGAGATGATACTACGTAAAATGTCAGAGCCACATTCGAAAAGAACAAGTTTACTTCGCCTAAAATAAGATGATAAGCGTTACCAATCGGATAATAGTATGGGGGAAACCTTCTTTGATAACCGATTAAGGCATCTTCTGAAATAAAATTGTAATATATGTCGGATGAGATTTTTAATTTAACATTTCCTGATCTTAAACCGGAAGACAAAATTAGTACTTCTTCGGGTGGTACTAAAGAAATGGCTTCAGCCATCACGCATTCATTATTTAAACATGTAATGTGCTTATTATTTTTTTTTTTTTATTCGTAAATTATTATCATATGCAAAAAAAAAATTGGCAGTATCGTCTGTATTTCGCCACCGCGGATAATTTTTGTTTCGCTTTTATTGTTATCTTTTGTTACAATTTAAGATCCGATAATAATTGCTCTATTTCTTTTATATTATCCTTCAAACGCATGTCTCTATCAGTTTCATCACGAATTCTGTCAGTAAGGTTATCTACTATCTCATAGGCTATTTCCAACTGAGTTCTTAAGTAGAACGCATACTGTGCTATCCTAAGGTAATCGTCAAGAAAAGATTGAATCCTATTGTCTATTATTGTCAATTGTTCTTCAGAATTATTGAATGTTAAATTTTTCCAGAAAGGATTCATTCTATTATTTAAATGCCCTTTTTAATACTTAGAGATTTAAATTCGTCAATTAGATCTCTTATCACATTCTCTTGTTCTGTTAAATTTTCTCTTATTTCAATAGCCGAATCTACCAATGCTGTGTTCGAATCACTAAGAGCATGTAACCATGAAGATAAAAATTTAATTCGTCTTTCAATTTTTTCTAAATGACAATAGACGGATTTGCAATAAATAGCTAACTGTTGATTGTGATGTTCTAAGTTCTCTAATCGCTCGTTTATTTCTGACCATTGATCGCTAGATAGTCCGGAAGCTACCCTAGTTAGTCTAGGAAACATTTGCCCTTTTCGTATATTATTTTTAGGGCAATAATCCTAAAACTTGACCTGTTATATTTCCTATAACACCGGTAACTATAGGATGGTTGAAGGGTGTATCTTTTGATATTACCAGAAAAGTCACAGTTGTTCCGAAAGCAACTACATTCATTTGACCGATTATTCTATAGTGAGTATTATTAACTATGTGATCTTCTGGTTGTGTAAAATGAAGAAATTCTACTTGCAAATCTTCTTCCGAAATATAATTGTATGGTGTTCCTGGAAAAATCGATAATCTAACTCTATTTCCGGTTAAATGTGGCGATTGAAATATAATTCCGGTAGGACGACCAAATAAAACACGTATATCATCAAGTAAAGGCGCCATTAAGAATTCATTAATTTATTATATCGATATCATTATTTTCAAATTCAATTTGTCTGATTTCCTCTTGCTGAGATAAAATTCTTTGTTCTATAGCTTCTTCAATTGTTAGATCTATAATCGAAATGTCGATGTTTTCATTGTTGTTATTAACGAGTACCGGCTCTAGTATATTTCTAACAGTTGGTTTAACTTTTGCTACTGGTCTATTTACAATTTGTGAGTTTACTAAATTTTGGTAAAGAGATGGTTTTGTAACGAGCTTTAGTTTTCTCGATCCGCGTTTACCTCTTTTCGAATTCCTTGAAGAGGATGGTTGTTGATTTTTACCGTTTTTCGGCATTGAGGAAAAGTGGAAAACTTTATACAATTAAAGTTTTACAAAATAAATTCTAAAATAAGTAATATCTTACTTTAAGAAATTTATTTTGTTTTTATTTCTTTTAACATAGCAAGATGCTTAAAGCTGCAGCATAATCACTTGCGCTTTAAGCAGCAAAGTAATTATTTTTGCGCGTTTAAGCGATAATTATTTTAAAACAATTTACATTATTTTAATATAATTTTAGCACTCTTGCACATTAAAAGGGCACCAGGAAAGAAGAACAAAACCAATCTCTCAAAGGTATAAACCTCGAGCGGCAAGGTCGCAGGTAAATCAACTAAGATTTCCGCGTCTTCTTTTTGAGGTTTTTTTTTAGGATTTGGAATATTGGAGAAAGAAAACTAATTCTTGAAAATTAAGACTCCATCTTCAATATCTACTTTTTGCAGAAATTTTAAATAAAGAACCAATTTTACAGAAATGTTTGTTTTCTTTTTAATATGTGGTTTTTATTTTTAAACGTCAAAATATTCAATGCTGCAGAATACTTACTCGAGCTAAAGCATCAAAGTAAATATTTTTGCGCTTATGAACGATGATTATTTTAGAGCAATTATATTGCTCTAATATAATTTGACACTTTTGACAACTTTAAAAATTTCAGGAAAGAAGTACACAATCAAGCTCTCAAAGGAATAAACCTCGAGCGGCAAGATTACAGGTAAAAATCAATTAAGATTCTGTGACTTCTTTATAGGATTTGGAAAGAGAAGAAATTCAACAAATTTTCTTATTTATAATCTGCTCAGCTTTTTCAAGAACAAAATCAAATAATTTCGAAAATTCTTCAAAACTTTTTATTTCACGAATTTGAAGGTCATCGCGTTCAATTTTTGTTATACCGAATTCTTCTGAGAGAGTTTTCTCGTCGCGAAAATTTTTTTGTTTTTTACCACCACGTCTACCTTTTGAAGAATTCATTTTAATACATTTTTTTTTTGAAAGCTACTGATTTTCCGGAATAGGTAAACTAAGTTCACTCATAAACGATTTGCCTACAATACCGATAGCTTTTGAATTTAGTCCTGTGTCAACAATACAGAATTTAATTTCTTTCCATAGTATTGGAATTTTTACCGATCCTAATATACTTAATATTTCATTTTCCGTAAACTTTGTATAATTAATCTGAACGAATGATGCTAAATTTTTCCTTTCTATTAAATTGAAATTAACAGTAGGATCGTAAACAAAATCTCCAGAATTTTCCCTTAAACAATCTGAATTTATTGTTACTATGGTCGTATGGTTTAGATGACTAAAAGTTAGATTTGACCATTCTTCTATCATAAAGATTTATTTATTTTTATCAAAGTTCATTTTTAAGAAATAGTAGAATAGAAATAGTTGAAACAAGCGTGCAAACAATAAGCACTGCTAGTTTCTAAAATAGTAAAGAGGTCAGGCGTGCAAACAATAAGCACTGCCCTGAAATATTAGAATAGAAATAGTTGAAACAAGCGTGCAAACAATAAGCACTGCTAGTTTCTAAAATAGTATAGAAGTCAGGCGTGCAAACAATAAGCACTGCCCTGAAATATTAGAGTAGAGATAGTTGAAACAAGCGTGCAAACAATAAGCACTGCTAGTTTCTAAAATAGTATAGAAGTCAGGCGTGCAAACAATAAGCACTGCCCTGAAATATTAGAGTAGAGATAGTTGAAACAAGCGTGCAAACAATAAGCACTGCTAGTTTCTAAAATAGTAAAGAGGTCAGGCGTGCAAACAATAAGCACTGCCTTGAAAATAGTTTAAATAAGGTAGAAAGAGTAGGCAGAGTTTTTAAAGAGAAAGCATTTATCTTTAATTAGAAATTTAAAAAAAAATAAAAAAAAAAAATTTTTTTTTTTTTTTTTTTTTTTTTTTAATTTAATCCAAATTATTGAAAATAAAAATTCCACTGATTTTATTTTTAATTGAATCCCACCGCTGCCACCATCAACTTGTTACGAACGAGAAAAATTAATTATTTAATTTTTATAATTTTAAACAATTACTTAAAATTTTCTATTCGCCGGAGGAACCAAGTTGCCATTAAAAGTCAAAATGAACATTTAACTTAATAATGTTTATTTTTATGTGGGTTCGATTAATTATATCGCCGATAGAAGACGAAACTGCCAATTTAATCTTTAGATCGTAAATAATGTTTCTTAGCTTTGAGATGAAAATCCACACTATTTTTGACAGCACAAATAAAAAGGTCTATTTGATTGAATAGAACAATTGGAATTTTAGTTTACAAAAATTTATTAAAAATCAAAGTAAAAATTGCAAAAATTACACATTATATGCTTTCTTTTGTAAAGAATAATGTTTTTGGAACGATACAGTTTTTTATTACTTACGGCTAGATTTCTCTTACACACTACCGTCGAGAGAGCTTGTTGAGAAGGGAGAATTCTCGCGATCTCGTCACACAATCAACGGGCAAAACGAAAGAAAGGTGTTATGCGTATTTCCGCGTCTCGAAACGCGGTACCGGTACCCTATCAGACACAAGCGGCGCAGGTACAATCCGTACGGACTGGCCGGTTTTAAGAACAAAAAATTATTTAATAAATTATAAATAATTTATTAAATAATTTCTCACTGTACTGATCAACCGATTGGGACTCAGCCGGTTCAAGGTTCGATTTAATTTTACGTCCGCCCAAAGAAAATAGAATTTAAATTGGAGCCAGCTCGCAGACGGGCCTTATTCTTAAAATTAAAAATTGGCTCAACGACAATCTATCGTGATTCAGCAATTTTAATTTTAGAAATTTAAGCACTGCTGTTAATTTACCTGGCTCAACGAAAATCTATCGTGATTCAGCAGGTATATTATTGAGCTTTCTCCACAGTTTAAACTCTAAGTTCACTTTTTAAAGAAATAATGCAAAAATCAGTAACACGTACTAAGTGATTGACTGAAGACGAATAGGCAATGAGGCCCTATGAGCTTCTGCTTATAAAGAGCATCGCGAGATGCACTTAGTGGGATTAGTGAATCAGGGGTAGAAGGATTCTGGGGGTTTCAGGGGTATCGATAAGAAAACTTAGATCATCGTCCATCGATATTCTCAGAACCCATGATTCTTGTTATTCTTTTCTTTGTTGACACTATTGGAACTGCACATCTCCATATGTGTAAGTGTATATATGTGTTTTTAATAAAGTATAACTCGCAACCTTTGTTGAATTCCAGAGCGGTCATAGTTCTGCACAGATTATCGTTTTCATATTAAAAATGAAACTATTTTCCTTTTTTATATATGCATATACATTTTACGCATACACACGTACATTTACCTTAGTACACATACATATATGCACGACATACATGTCTCAAAAATTTTCTTCTCTTTTTTTTTTTTATATGCATTTTGTTTTTTTTACAAAATTGACCCTCTTAAAATAAAATCTTAATTGTTGCGAGTTTATATGTGCTTGGAAAATGTGACATGTTCCAATTTAAGCTATCAACAATTATTCTATCTTTATTTCCCTTTTTTTTTTAATTTGAAGGTATTATAAGGAAAAGAATAGGGGAAGGAAGGCAGTGTTTGCATCGCGCGATACTCCTCAAGCGCCTCACACATATGCGTTACGCAGGCTATGGGGAGTCCGTGTCTGTGTGTACCGCATCCACGCTACGAGACTCATTGCACCTGAACGCGTGAGAAAGAGAGAGAAAGATAGATAGAATTGACATATGCGATTCTTCTCCCTTCTTATAAAATAATACATTTTCGTAAATATAATAATTGCAATATAATAATCACATTATTGTTGGTTACTATAATATGCGTAGAAATGTGCAACCAAACAATGTATACACATATCTATGCATATCACTTTGGCATACTATGAACACACGTACACACGATAAAAATAATGCACACGCATACGTGCATATACAATGCATATTCTTTGAAATAATATTTGATAATGATGATTCTAATAAGTAGAAAAATAGTATTGGTAATATATCCAATTGTTTATAATAATAATTATGATTAATTATTAATATTAATTTTAGTAAATGTAATTAACAATGATAATAATACGATTTATCATTATTAATAAAAAAAATCATGAATTAACAATAATTTGCATATTGTTAATTAATTAATTACTGCAAATTACTAATAAAAATGAGTAAAGTATAATTGTTTTATTTATAATAATATTTTAGTATCTTTATATAAGGTAAGTACACTATATTATATTTTTCATGCATATATTTATAATATTCAAGCTTGAATATTGGTATTAGATAATTAATATAGTTTATAATATAGCATAATATAATATAGTATAAATCATAATATAGAATAATATAACATAAGATAGAATAAAATAATATATTATAATATAACAGTTTAACAAAGTTATATTATAATATCATAGTCATAGATACATTTTTAGAAGCAACGAGAATATAAGACTGTGTGTGTGGAGTATCACTCAACGCGCGCGATTATCGGGGATTCAAATTACATGCCTATATACATTGTGGCATCGACTTGGAGATTTTATTCTTAAATAATTTTCAATTATTCTTGAAAATTATTTATTATCATTTTATTTATCTTTTATTTATAATTTCGTTACGATAGTTCGTAACAGTATATACACGTGTATATACATGTGGAGAATATGGCAAAATATCTAAAAAAAATGAAGTCTTTAAAACACATGTATATACACGTGTATATACACGTGGGGAATATGGCAAAATATCTAAAAACAATGAAGTCTTTAAAACACATGTATATACACGTGTATATACACGTGGAAAATATGGCAAAATATCTTTAAAAAAATTAAGTCTTTAAAACACATGTATATACACGTGTATATACTCGTGGAGAATATGGCAAAATATCTTTAAAAGTAATAATGCCTCTGTACACGTGTATATCCACGTGTATATCCATGTCCAAATTGATACGTGTAAATACACGTGTATATTTTCAATAGGGAGGGGAGATTCCTATTGCGACAGACAAAATCAACACAAACTTTGACAATTTTTTTCGGGGAACGGTTATGACTTAGTGATGTTGATTTATTTTTTAAAAAAAGGTACATCCTTGAAATTTTAAAACATACATTTTATTTTCCAAAAATTTTAAAATGGCGACCAATATGGCGCACCTTTATACCGTTATACCTTTAAAATACAGTCGAACCTGGATAAGTGACATCCCAAGGGACCAACAATTTTTTATCACTTATAGAGGTTTTTCATTAATACAGGTTTTCACTTACAGAGGTCGAAGTGCGGTCTCTATCACTTAAAGAGGTTCTCGCACTTATAGAGGTTCATGCATGGCTGCGTTCACTTATAGAGGTTTTGACAAATCAAATTAACAATGCGAAATTTACTAAATTCATTCATTTATTTATTTGAAATACTAATTAATACTAATACTAATTAATTAATTAAATGAAAAAAGTCTGTCAATTTTGTTTGTTTTTTGATTACACTATTATTAACATAAGTTTCAATTTCATAAATTTTATCAAAAACAGATTGATCAATATTCGACGAGAATTCAAAAAATCTATGGACCTTATCCAGAGCACTTAAAACTTCCTGAAGCTTTGGAATTGAAATTTCTTGGATAGTCGAATTCTCGTCAGCTTCTTCGTCATTGTCATCACCGTTGTCGTTTGTGTCTCGGACACAATTTTCAACAATGTCGTCGTCTGTCTGCTCTTCGGTGATCACTACATTGACGTCAACTCTTACGAAATCCTCGAAATTTATTCGGTCTGCTTCGTCAGATACAAGACTTTCCCACTCCTCTTTACTGGGACCTACTTCAATTGGTTCTGCTTCACATCTTTCTCCATTCCAAAATCCAGCTTTTTTAAAGCAGTTTTTGATGGTCACATCGCTGATGGCAAACCAAGCTTTCCGAGCGAATTTCATAGCGCTCAGAATATTAATTGTCGTGTCTTTTTTCTTCTCAATGCATCCCAAAGTATGTTTAACTACTTCTGTTCGATAGTGGCGTTTAAAAGCGTGAATAACCCCTTGATCCAAAGGTTGCAACTGACTCGTAGTATGGGCAGGCAAAAAAACGATTTTCACATGAGTTAACTTTGGTAGCTTCGAGTGTGCAGCACAGTTATCCACAAAGAGAAGAATTTTTGTTTTTTTCTTTTTCATGTTATTGTTAACTTTGTGTAACCATTCCGTAAATATGTTTCTCGTCATCCAAGCCTTGCTGTTACTATTGTAGTCAACTGGCAGAGTCTTTACACCTGTAAATAGAAATTACAAAATTGTAAATAAACAATTCATTCCGAAATATCGTGGAAAAATGTTAGAATGAAAGCTATTATCATTGGTTATTATTTTGATTACTGAATTTATAAATATATAATTTACCTTTAAAACATCGAGGTTTTTTTGATTTTCCAATAATAAGAAGAGGCAACTTGTTTGTCCCAGTCATGTTGGCACAATGAAGAACTGTAAGGCGCTCTTTACTTTGCTTTCCTCCGCAGCAATCTTCTCCTCTAAAGGTAAACGTTTTATTTGGAAGGCACTTAAAAAATAGTGCAGTTTCGTCTGCATTGTAAATGTTGTTCGCATCATATTCTTTTAAAAGAGTTGGTAAATTTTCAGTCCATTCATTGCACACATCTTGATCCCCAGATTTAATTTCTCCAACTTTATTTTTGAAAACTAAATTGTGTCGCTTTTTAAATCCCTCTAACCAACCATTACTTGCTGCAAAGTTCTGGATTCCTAATTTTTTTGCAAAAACTTGAGCCTTTCCTTTTAACAATGGCCCGTCTATAGGAATGTTTTTATCCAAAACTTGTTTCAACCATTCTAAAAGACACTTTTCGAGATCAGGAAATTCCACTACACGTTTTCTTTTAATATTTCCGTGGCCCTCAAAACATTCTGATTTTATGGAATCCTTTTCTCTTATTATTCTATAAAAAGTGGATTCTGACAAACCATATTCACTAGTTAAAACGTCTCGTAGCTTCCCACTCTCAAATTCACTCACAATTTTAAGCTTATCACTTAGTGAAAGTACTTTAAGTTTTCGTTTAGACATTATGTTCACGCAAGTTATAAAATGTTAAATAAGCGAACGTTTCCTATTACGGTCGGTTTGAATCTAAAATTTTCTGCGTACCGAGTGTACAAATTATTATTTGAGCAAAACGCCTTTGTTTCTATACCTCTATTGACATTTTATTTACTGTTTACTCATTTCTATTGCCCTGTTGAAAATTTAAATACTGAAACGATTTTCACTTATAGAGGTTCGAAACATGCGTCTTTCACTTATAGAGGTCAATCCAAGAAAATAAAATGAAAGAATTGTCACTTATAGAGGTTCGAGAAGTGCATCTTTTACTTATAGAGGTCTGGCCGAAAAAAATATCGGTCACTTACAAATTCTCATATATAGAGGTTTTTACATGGGAAAATGAAGGGACCTGGCGATTTCTGTCGCTTAAAGAGGTTTTTCACTTATCCAGGTGTCACTTATCCAGGTTTGACTGTAATTAAAAATTTAAACAAATGACAAAATGTCTGCAACTTTTTTAAAACACTGCGTTTTTTGCCTTATTTTCTCATGTTTGACCTGATGTAAAAAATCCTTATTGTTAACTATTGTATCATTTTAAAGGTATAACGTACCCTAGCAAAATTTAGTTACCTTTAAATTGATTGGTAAAATTGTTTAGACGCTACGATGCCCACCATTTTGAAAAATCTTGTTTCGAGAAAAAAATGTTTAAAGTTTCGACAACATTTTTATGTTTTATGTGTAATATTTGTCTACTCTAAAAAAATTGATTCAGTTTGCCTGAAATTCGTTACTCAAGGGTTTTTGAGGTCGCTGATTACGAATATGATGTCAGATTTTCAAAACTGAAAATAGCTGATCCAATATTGCGGTCGACTTACGACCTTAGTGGCACTTAGTTTTGGAATGTCGATGAGTTCAAAACGCTGTAGAAACGAAAATATTCTTCAGATCAAAAAATCGCTTTACACACATATGTAGCTTTCAAAAATGCATTAAATAAAAAATCGATTTTTTTACTCCCGCAATGGGTACCTCCCTTTAATCAAAATAAAAATTCACCGAATTTTTATTTGTCTTAATAAACAATCGATACCCATGTAGCACGTAGTATTACAGTCATAATAAAATGTCAGCCTCATCGTAGGGGAGAGTGGGGAGTTGTACTCCGAGTTTTGTTTTTCAATCAAAACTATTGTATAATTTTTTTTACTATTCTGTTATATACAACTTTTAGTACACGTAGTATACTAATATTACTATGATATTATTGTAATATTACGTGCTACTTAAGTTGTTTCAAAAGAAATTCTATTAATTGCAATTTCGAAAAATGAACACTCATGTAAAAAATAATTATATAAAGTAGTAGTTCACGTGACAATTTTTTAAAATCTGGCTATAAATATGTTGTTTTTATTACAATAAAACATATTTTTTATAAAAAATTATAAAAATACTCTCATTGTTAGAAATGTTGTAAATTTCCATAAAAATATATAAATTTTTGAACAATAATAGCAAGTTTTTATATTGAAATAAAAATTGTACTATCTTTGAAAAACAGTTTATTAATAAAATAAATAAATAAATCTCCATTATAAAATATAATATAAAAAACATAAAAATAAATAAAAATTAAATATAATATAATAAATAATTATAATAAAACTAATATAATAGTTAATATAAGTAGTTAGTTATAAGTACTAACTACTACTATAAGTACTTATACTAACTTATAGTTAGTTAATATAAGTTATAACTAGTTAATAACTAACTAATATAATAGTTTATTATAATATTATTAATATTAATATATTAATATTAATTAAATTTTTTATTTAAATAAAATTTTTATTTTATTTTTATGTTTCTGTTCACTTTTATTCTTTCACTTCCTCCTCTCTCTTTCTTCCTCATACACTCTCTCCTCTCCATCCACTCTCTCCTCTCCATCCACTCTCTCCTCTTCATCCACTCTCTCCTCTCCATCCACTCTCTCCTCTCCATCCACTCTCTCCTCTCCATCCACTCTCTCCTCTTCATCCACTCTCTCCTCTTCATCCACTTCCTCTTCTTCCTCTTTATCCTCTCCCTCCTCTTCATCCTCTCCCTCCTCTTCATCTACTCCCTCTTCCTCCTCTTCTTCATCCTCTTTTTCTTGTTCCTCCGTTAGTTCTTTACAAAATGATCTGCAATGAAAAACAATATACTTAATATTTTTTCAATAATGCGACAACTGATTAGCATTTTTTTTTGGAAAAACTTCTGAATTAGGAAATTTGTATAAATTTACATTTTGTTGCATTTTTTAAAATTAAGTATTGTTATAACTTACTTATCACGTCTGCAGTTAACTGCTTTGTGAACCGAATTTGTATTTAACAGTATTTTTATTTAACCGATTTTCAATAACAGTCAATAACTAAAAATTTCTGTCTAATTCCCGGTTTTCCTGGTGTGTGGGTGTGACTGCATATTTACGCAGTGGAGCTTTTAAAAAAAACAAAGTGTTCAATACATATGTCTGATATTGTCGTAATCTTTGTATTGGATTTTAATCCAATTTTTCTTGGATACCCCCAATGGCTTTTTGTTGCCAACAAATTGAATTTTTTTAGGAGGCCAGTAGCCAGAGGCAATTTTGCGAACTCTGGCACTGATAGTTTTCGCATCCAAGGCTTCATTAAAAGCGTCTTTACAAATTTGGACTCCAGCACAAGTAACCTAGAAATATTTTAAATAATTGTTTCAATTATTATTATCTCATATTGAAAATAGGGTTGAATTTTTTTCAAACACTAAAGGAACATTCACAAATGAGGTTGATCCTGTTGATAGAATTTCGATAATTCCAACCTCTAAATCGCAGGCTTTTTAATCAGACTTTAAAATTGAGAGGTTTTAAATAAGAATAGGGTCATTTCTTAAAAATAACTTTCAGTATCTTAAATACCACTATTATTGGGATTTTAATCATGAACTCTTAAGGTACATTCTTAATTTAAATTAATAACAAGTTATTAATAAAATCACAAGCTTTGCAGTGGTTAGTTAGAACAAAATAGTAACATACTGTTTATAATAATTTGTGTGAATATTTAAAGTTAAATCAAAACCATTAAAAAAAATATACGTACGTATTTCTTGAAACATTAATATTTATATTTTCTAGACAACTTTAAGTAACGAAATTTAGGCAAAAATAAGCACTTTTCCTGCAAATCGATGCCATTTCGCGAAAAATGAATTTTTTTTAAAAACGAATACGTATTTCGGTAGATTTTGAGCTGCAGAAACTAAAGCTTTTTTTATCTAGCTCAAATGTAGACCGAGTTATAGTGCCCACCGCACAGCGATACATTTTTGAAGCACTCCGCCATATCATTTGTCAGACCGACATTTTTGAAGAAAAAATGTTTTTTTAGTTCTAGAGTAGTATAATACCCAACTGTATTTTAATTTTTTGAAAAAAATTCTATTCTTCAATAAAAATGGTTGAAAAAGCGTATTTTTTGGTCGGGTCAAATTAATCGGACATTTTTTTAAGTTCACGATATTCGCTTGAAACTTGTTATTCGGGGGTTTACAGGGTCGCTGATTACGAATCTTTAGTCAAATTTTGAAACTTTCAAAATTCAAAATGGCGGATCCAATATGTCGGAGATATATTTATAAAATCAAAGTTTTTCGCTTGGAATTTCTTAAACAGGGGTTTTTGTGGTCGCTGATTACGAATCGGACGTCATAATTTTAAAAATTTCTAAAATTCACAATGGCGGATTCAAGATGCCGGACAATTTTTTTCAAATTCACTATATTTGCTTGAAACTTGTTCCTCGGGGGTTTTCAGGGTCGTTGATTACGACCCCGAAAATTTTTTTGAATTTTTGAAAAATTAATATAATTTACGGCAACTCATTACTAAAGGATTTTCAAGGTCGCTAATCACGAATCTGACATTAAATTCGTAATAAGCGACACCGTAAACCCCTGAGTAACAAGTTTCAAACTAATATAGCGAATTTTAAGAAAATTGTTCGCCGACTTGGATCCGTCGTTTTGAATTTTGAAAAACGGACACCGGATTCGTGTTCAGCGACCTGAAAAACCCCTATATAAAAAGTTTTATTAAAATTCAAAAAAAAATTTTCATTTGCAATTTGGGCACTTTCTTCAAAATTAAAACCGCAGCTAAGAGATTAAAAATACAAATTAAATGTATATTTGTCAAAACAAATTTTTTATATTTTTGAAAAGCAAATCATCGGTATCTGGCTCCATATTTTATCTCAGCTACTTTTGTCAAGGTATACTGACTCGAAAAATAGTGCAGTCAGTTTTGAAGCTGATATGTCATTGGTCGATAATTCAAAAAAAAATTGTAAATAAAGTTGGTTATGTTTTTGTTTATTAAGTGCCAGTGATGAAAACTTTTTTTAGGTTAATTATTTTTTGTATAAATTATAAATTTACAGTTAAATAAGTATAATTGTTTCATCGCAATGTTTTATAATATTTTGATCTGAAAAATAAATATTTATTCGATTTTGTAAATACTGGTAAAGGTTAATTTCTTAATTGTCAAGTTATATGTTAAGAAATTCCATACTATCGAGAATTGGAACCGAACCTCAAGAAATTGGTATACGTCCATCGACAAATGGTGATTATCCTTAATTGACGTTTAAAAACAATTTTTATCTGGCACTATAATTTATTTTAGAAAACTAATTATGAATATTAAACATTCCCGTGCACAAATTGCCACTTTTCATCCCGATTACCGACCTGGACCCGATCCGATTTCCTGTTCTGGCCCCGGGTTAGTAAATTATTATTGGCCCAACCAAGGCCAGGCCTGGTTACCATATTTAAAAAATTTTATAAACTAGTAAAAATACATTTATAATATTTTGTGAAATTTTTTACACTCTAAATCTGCATTAGTAAAAATGTTTACTAATTTGAATTAGTGACTCACTTTATGCTTATTAATTAGTAAAATTTTACTAATTTGAATTAGTGACTCACTTTTTGCTTATTAATTAGTAAAATTTTACTAATTTGAATTAGTGACTCACTTTTTCCTTAGTGGCTAATAAAATGTTACTAACAATTAGTAAAATTTAACTAATTCTAAAGCAAAAAGTGAGTCCCTCTTAAATTTTACGAATTGTTAGTAAAATTTACTAATAATTAGTAAAATTTTACTAATTCATAAGCAAAAAGTTAGTCACTAATTTAAATTAGTAAACATTTTTATTAATTAAGAATTGGAGAGTAAACGAAATAATTATTCAAATAATTTTTTTCAACTTACATTTCCTTTTCATTTTGTAAGGTGTTTTTTTAAATGCAGATTCATAAAATAAAATAATATTGATTAATTCTATTGTTTTATTTATCAATTAGAGAAAAATAATTATAATTTGTTGAAAATTACAATTACTATAAGATCGAGCAAATTACCATGACCCTGGTCGGGTCCCGACTACGATTCCAAATCGGGAAAATTGGCATGGCCCCGGTCGGGTTCCCTGTTTCATTTCGATCGGGTCCAGATCAGATTGCCAGATCTGGTCCAGATCGTGCCCGGTCTCGGCCCGACCAGGACCAGGTCAAATTTTCTGCACGGGTTATTAAATTTTTGCCCAAGTGCACAAAATTAAGGCGGGTATAATATTTAAATTTTTTTTTCATTTATTTAAAATGAATGTATCCCATATTTCAAGAATATTGTACTTCTTGACTTACTTCCCTAGGTAACTACAAAAAGCTTTTTTTAATAATTATTAATTATACAGTAAAAATTAGATCGATTTTATAAGCGAAAATCGGGTTTTTGGGGTTCAAATGCTACGAAAAATAAAAAAAATTCTTTCGTAGTTACCTCGAATTAACGATACCGCCCTTGATTATTACCTTAAAAATAATTTATCGTAATTCTATCAAGGTCTCCAACCTAAGTGTTTATAAATCGAATGGTAGAACTTTAATTTTAAATTTTCTAGCGAAAAGAATGAATTGGGTGCATACCGTATTTGAGTCACTATTCCGCGCAGATGTCTTTTTCTTCTTTTTTTTCAAGTCTTCCCTCACATTTTCTAATTGTTTTAAAATTTGACTCTCCTTCTCGTTCTTTAGAATATGCATTTCTTCTTTTAAACGGAGGTTTTCCGCTTTTAAAACTGCATTTTCAGCTGTTAACTGCATATATTTTTTATTTAAAATTTTATTCAACTTCCTCGTTTTAGGGCACGTGTTGCACTTTTCCACCTTAAAACAGAAGTGTATTAGAGAACAAGGATACATAAAAATATCTTACAAAAGTAAAAATAAAGAAACTATAAAATAAAAACAGGTAATTTAAAAAGATTTTTAAAAACTATGTATCAGGTACAAAGACCTACACAAGAAAACTGATTGAAATGTAGTGTGAAGGAAATATAGAATATCAGTTTCATTAAGTTTCATTTCATTAACAAGTTAAGGTTGGCGAGGAGGAAAATGAAATCGTTTATACAAAATATACTCTAGTATATTTTGTATAAACGATTTCATTTTAAATCATAATATGACCTGCTTTACGCAAAAAGACCTTACGTGGAAACACAAGTCTTCGAGAAAATAGCTGATAAAGCTAAAACAGACACTTTTTTCGTGTTTGCCCACTTTTTTCTTAAGGGGTTAGTACTACATCTCAGTGACTTTTCTTAAATATTTTTCATTTATTACAAAATTTATTTTATTTACTTCAAACTTTTTGCACCTAAAAGAAGGGGTTTAAACTATTTAAAAAAAATTTATTCCTTAATTATAATTGATTATCTTGCTGTCATGGCCGCCTGAAAATACCCCTACTTTTGCGACAAGATACATAATATACATGTATATACGCTGTTCCAGGAGAAATCGATATTTTTCCTGACGAATTTGGGCCCTTTACGCGCAGAAAATTATAAAAGGAGGCGTATATTATTTTCCGTTTCAGCAAATAAGCTTTCTCTTTCAATTTCTTTTAAATTTGAAGACACATGTGTATTGAGAAGTAAATTTTTTTTATCCATTTTAGGGTCGTTTAGATTTTATGGCATTTTGGTGCAAAATAAAAAATATTCAAATCCAAAGAAATAATTTTTTAAATATTAAATTTACCATTTGCAGATTTTGACGATTCCAACGATATAAATTTTTACGTCTAAATATTAAAATTTGCTTTTGAAAAAGTTATATAATTTCATGATTTACATATGTACAAACTCTAATCTTATAGTATTTGCAAAAAATTTTATACCGTTGTAATTGTTTCAACCTGTACATTGCAAATATAATATTTATATAATTATTTTTTTAAATTCCAACAATTTTTAATGTTGCAATGAAAAGCAATAAAACCATAAAAGACCCTTCCGACTGCCTTTTGAAGACCAGGCTCAGAAAAAAATCTAGAAAACGCCTTTTTCACTTACAATTATACCCTCTTACAACAAGATGCGCAGAAAAATATCGATCTCTCCTGGAACAGAGTATATATACTTTTATAAACATATTTATATATATATATATATATATATATATGTGTAATTTGATATATATTTATATTTATATACGTATATATTTATTATAAAAGCATATATTGTATTTGCGAAAGAGTACGCTCCGTGAGCGCGTGACTTTTACATTGTACCCCGTTTTTCGATATGTTACCGAAGTTTCCAACCAAAATTATAGTTTCCACAGCATTTCTACATATATCTACTACAAGAATATGTAGTTTTTAGAAAATCGATTTTCCTGAAAAAAGATGTGGTACTAACCCTTCAACACTTTTATTAAAATCTTCGAAAAATTATAACTTTCTGCTTTCTAACATGTGAAAGAGCGTCTTAAACTATTCCAATTGACAAAGAAATGAAAAATGATTTAACACCCAAGGTCTCTTTTTGTAGATCATGTCACATATATTGAATTATTATGCTTACTTGAGTCACTTCAGTTTTGTTTAAAATGGGCACGGTTTCTGTTGTATAATCATCAACAGCAGGAGGAATTATTATTTCTTCAGTTATTTTTTGCTGAAAGTAAAATGCAATTAAACAACGCATATGTATGCAAAAAATGTACACAGCCGTTCAATTGAATTTGCCCACACTATTGCAATTCTTAAATGTGTAATTGCTATTAAAATTAAACAAAATTTACAATTTTTTTGTCACTTTTAAAGAAATTTAGCTTTTTAACATATCACATATAAATTTCATTCTTTACAAAATTACGTGTAATTTATTTATAACACAGAAAAGTTATTGTGTTTAAAACTATGCTTACATTATTTAAAAAAGCGGCGAAACTACTCGCGTCAGCGGTTTTTATTTCCTCTTGTCGGACAACCTTCTGTACATCCTGAAATCAATTTTAACTTATACTTCTTCAAGTATTAGATTCATATTAGATTAAATAAGAATTAAATATAGTAAGATTAGTCCAAATGAGAATTAGATTAAATATATTTATATATGAAATTAGTGACTGTTATAATTTATTAATAAGATTTATAAGAAGGCTTTATGGTAAAAAAAATTATTTATCCATTATAAAAATAAATTATTGTGTTGATGTTTCGGGTCGGTACCAACCTATCTTCAGGGTTAAAAAAATATAAATAACATAAATTAGTTTTAAAATACTTCAATGATTAACAATTAAAAAACATGTAGATATAAAATTAAATAACTCGAAATAAATATTAACTATTACAAATTATTATGATCACTATGAAGGATCGATATTAACACATAGATATAACGGAGACTGAAGTTAGGTGACAACTAAAATTTAAATTTGAATCTCAAAAACTGTTATTGTTGAGAATCAGAACTAATTTTTATAATTGTTAGTATTTATTCCGAGTGGTATGTTATTTAATTTTACTAGCATCATATCATCTCTCGCTAACATTTGCTCGGTTGAAATTGTAATTCTTATTGTTTACTTATATCAGTTCCGTCATATGTATTTATTTTATTTTTTAAATTAAGATTATATTAAATTATTATCTTCAAATTTTACATTTTTTAGAAATTTTTTAATACTTTTCATAAATAAATAATTTATTCTAACGAATATAATGAGTTGTTTCAAAGAGTTGGTACCGACCAGAAACGTCGACACAATAATTTATTTTTATAATAAATAAATAATTTTTTGACCGATAAGCCTTTTTATAAATCATATTAATAGATTAAATGAAATTTAGACAACAAAAAAATTAGGTCAAATAAATATGTAATACTGTAAGACGGGGTTATTTCACTATATGAGTTTGCTCACTGCGGATAAATTTGCTTACCAAGTTATCTGCTTCAAATTATCTTTAAACTAAATTTTGATACTTCCATGAACAAATTCAGAGTCATATGGGCATTATTCTAGAACTTTTAAACTTTGAGATTGAAGAAAATTGATTTTTTTTTGAGGCACATTCATGAAATTAATTTTATTGGCTTTAGAATTGATCAAATGACAGAAAAAACTTTGAGTGATTCATTTTTACACATTGTTATTTTTATTTGTAACATAACGTGTTACGTTACTCGTAAAATTATTTTTTTGCTTATGGCCTCGTTTTCAGAAGCTAGTATATAAAATTATAAGTTCGCGCACCAAAAACAGACGAATTTACTACTTTTATTTACTATCATTGTTTTTTACATATTCATAATAAGTAATAAACACTTATTACATGTAAAACGAACAATCTTGAACTGTGGTGTTGAAAAGTTATATTTAAATTTCTTAAGGTATCATAATGAGCGACAACATAAAGTTTAAAAGTTCTAGAACAATGCCCATATACGCAGTATAGGGGAATGTATCCATGAGTGGACTCATGAGATTATTAGTGTTATACCCAATTTGTATCCATGAGTGGCCGTATATAAATCGTCGATTGTTCTGTATATAAAAATGATACTGCATTCACACCACTGTGCTAAATTTGACCTCCTGCGTTTACAAATTTTTAAAATGTCATTAAAAGCATTAAAAAAGAAATCTGACGAAGAAAAAAAGTTTAAAAAATTTTAAAAAATAAGTAGAAAAAAAGATATTTCATTTGCAACATTTGTAACACTGAAATTAATTGAAATGCACTAATATTGTTGTTTGTTTGAATGTTCTAAGTGTTTATAATAAATAAATATTCTATAAGCATTGAAATCCTTTAATGTTTATTTGATTTTTAATCATTTGTTAACCATTTCAGCAGGTGATCCACTTATGGAAACAAATTTATCTTGTCAAAAGAACATCACTTAACAAAATCAAACTAAAAATGTTTCTTTGAAGCTTAAAAAAAGTCTCAATATATATAATACATATATGACTGATTCTCCGCGTACCGCACCATGTGGTGTTTGAAACTTTAAAAATATTTTTTTATGGAAATGATAAATACCAATACATATTTTTGAAGATAAAGTGTCAAGAAATATTCATATTCTAATTTTTTTAATCAAATTTAAAAAAAATTCTTTGCTTTTTGAATTCTATAAAATATTTGAAGTTTGATTTAAAATGTTTATGGAAATTTTTGAGGTAATTCACAAAAATATATATAGCGCGAACGACAATTAAAAATTTTGATTTCGGTAATTTACGGAAATATTAGAGGAAATTTATGGAAATTTTTTCTAAAATTCACAAAAATATGTAAAGCATAAATCACAATTAAAAATTTTAATTTTGATAATTTTCGGAAATTTCCGCAGTAATTTATGGAAATTTTTGCGGTAATTTAAACAAATATATTTATAGCGCGAACGACAATTAAAAATTTTATTTCGGTAATTTATTGAAATTAATGCGGTAATTTACGGAAATTTATACGGTAATTTATAGAAATTTATTTGTAAATTTACCGGAGCTATGATAGTTTATAATAAATATTTTTAATCTCGTTTGTTTCATTGTAGTATTAAACTTGCATTAGTGACGGTGGAAATTCTGATGCCGGTGGGGACGCAGTGTTCGGTGGGACCGGCGTTGATAATTTTTGTTTCTTTGCGAAAATTATTATTTATTTTTAATTGGTTTCATATGTTTCACATTTATATAGACTGCACCCCGTTTAGAAAATGAAAACTGGTCCTAGCTTAGTCCTATCTATTTTGCCCCATTATTAACTAGGTCTAGCTTAGTCCTACAATGGTTTGTGATGCGATTTTACCACAATTAATACTAACTTTCAAGAAGGAATATCCTGTAAGTTTTAAATTAAACTCTTGAGAGTTAAATTAAAATTTAAACCCTACGGGAATCAAACCCCAGACGCATGACCTAAAGAACGCTTTAACGACCGCGGCTACATAACCTAAATAGATATTTTTATTTGATTTGTCTATATAAATTTTCACTTTCACTGTAAGTGTTTTATGTTGTCAAATAATGGATTTAAAACATTATATTGCATTGTTAATTTGTTTAAACAATTTATTGTTATTTATATTAACATTTTTTGTAGTGCACCTAGAAAGATGCAGTTTTTTCCTAATTTTACAATTTATCAAGTCGAATATAAAGCCAGATAGATTTGATGTAAAATTATTAATTCAACAATTGTATAACAATTTATTGTTGTTATTTATTAACTTTTTTGTAGTGCACCTAGGAAGATGCAGCTTTTTCCTAATTTTACAATAGAAAAAAATACTGCATTTTTCTAGGAAAATTGTGAAAAATGTTAATAAATAGAAAAAATTATTTATTTAAACAATTTAACATAATAGTTGTTGCAAATTTAATTCTATATTTTATTTTATTTATAACCCTTAAATTAATAACTACTAAGAGAAGGTAACAAATTTATAAAATTGTCTATGTCTAAATTGTCTTATTGTCTATGTGTATTTAAAAAAGTTATAAATTATGAACAATAAATTGTTTAAACAAATAAAAATTCAACAACATATTTTTGAAATATATTATTTGTCAATATATATAACAATTAAATAAATTAACAAATATAACTATGGAAAAATGTTTTTAAATATTTACTGCAAATTAATAAATAATTAAAACCATGTAAATAATTATCAATTAATTAAATAAGTATTATCTGAGAATATTTTAAAAATCCTAAATTAAATCACTTTTTTTCATAAAAAAAAATTTCTAACACTTAAGTAGATGTTCTAGCTAAATCCAAGTTAGGACCGGTCCAAAATATATAAACTGGGGCTGCCAATGTAGGATCAATGTTGGGCCAACAATCATTTTAGACATACGTTGGTAATTTCTACACGGGTAATAATATAACTACACGTTATTTAACCTTCATTATTTCATTATTATTTTTTATTTTTATTATTTTCGAAGGGTCGGTGGATACCGGCGGAGACGATTTTGTGATGCCCTGTACAAATTTGAATCTTGAAATGTGTAAGAAAAGGATAAATCAATTAGAAAATTGATTACATTCTTCATGGATCAACTTAAGGAATATAACTTTTGCTGTTACTGAAGTAGAAGTATATTAACATTTGACTTTTATTTAAATAATTCAATGTTTAATAATAAAACGCAGAATAACACACAAAATCCAGTCAAGTAAAAAAAGCAAAAAAAAATAAAATAATTATTTTTTTTCATCAAACGTTTTTTTATTCAATTCTACTAAAATATGCAATACTAAAATTTCAACAGTAATCGTATTTATTAATGCACATTGCTAAAAAAAATTAATTTTTTTGTTTAAACATCCTGTGGGGACAGGTCAAATTTTGACTTTTTCAACCTTAAAAACCACTTTTCATGAAAAACTATAATGTTAAATACGAAAGTAACTATTGGTTTTTGTTTGTAATCACAAAAATTACCTTTTTACATTGAAATCGAAATATTATGTAAACATTATTTGTGATTTTTCTTTTACAACATGAAATAAAGAAGTTGTGCGCTACACGGAGAATCACCCATATTACAAATATATATATATATATATATATATATATATATATATATATATGGGACGTTCCACGTCAACAAGGACAGGCTT